CTCGCCCTTAGCACGGAGAATATCGTCGAAGAAATGTGTCGAGAGGAGGGCACCTTTAACACCGTCAGCAGAGCAGTAACGCAGATCATGTCAGCGCTGCAGCGAAAATGGCGGGAAGACCAACTAGAAAGTAGTAACGTGCTCACACAAGTGCGAACTGAAAGCCGAAGCCGGGAGAACTCTCCGTCAGAGTAGGCTGTATCCACAACCAGGGATAACCGAGTAGAACGTGACGCTGGGAGCTAAATGGCTCACAAATTGGAGAGACGATCAGCGAACTGGAAGCGCCAATTAGCTGAGGTAAAGTGAGGTGCGTAATGCACGGCCCCCTCCGAAGTAATACGACAAGTGGTTCCGGGGGAAAAGGGCAAGGCGTCTAAGGAGGTTTTAGTGCGGTAAGAATCCCACACACCGTGTCACCGCGACTGTGCGCCCAGTCGTCAGCGGTGGCACGATGGCCTTTTTGAAGGTTTCCTCCTTGCCAAAAAAAAAAAAAAAAAAAACACAGACACACACACAGACACACACACACACAAACACACACACACACACACACACACACACACACACACACACACACACACACACACACACACACACACACACACACACACACACACACACACACACACACACACACACACACACACACACACACACACACACACACACACACAATGGCTGGTCGTTTGGAAGTATCTAGTCTGAAAGGGTTAAGCGATGCTACATTTTCCTCTGGTTTTCGGAACATAAGCACTTACTCTTGTCCTAGCCTTTTGAGACTGACGCCATTGCTCGCTTCTGGAAAGAGAAGAACGAAAGACAACGAAGTGTGAAAAGGAAAACAAACCCTAGTTCTGACATCCCTTGAATGAAAACTGATAAAACCGGGTGTCATATCACAACTAGCAAAAAGAGATTAGAACCAGAGTTTGGTTGATTTTACACGATCGTAACACCCTCTCGAGAGGTGATCTACCCATGTTACGGTTACGGTTTAGATGGTTGGATTAGCCTTACATGGGTAATTTTCCATTTGCTGCATAGCTAAGCACGTGCTTTTTTCGAGGCTTTTTTATGTTAATTTGTGATTTTGAGTGATTGAAAACATTTTTGAATTAGGAATTTGTGAAGAAACTTTTGAATATGATTCATGAAGCATTTCCAGATGTCATCAGCAATTCATATTGGTAAAAAATTAAGAGATGAACTAGCCTATGGCTAAAAATCTCTATAATAAAGGAAAAAAAAAAAAATATTGGTAAAATCATTCCGCATAACAAAACATTTGAATGTGCTGCAGAGTCCAATTGTTGAACTATCATTTGCTTTGAATTCCTAGTACTGCTCACTTTGTATCTAACTATTGCGCACCCATGAAATATGGCTAAATCCATCTTGGAATTAAATTTTTTCAGCAAGAATAATTAATCATTCTGTTAGAAGATTTAACATGACTTTTCGGTATATTGTATTACAATATCAGTTATTTTAATGATTTTTTTTCTTGATTTGTTTTGCGCCGATCTTGTTTTTTGTGCCAGGGAGGCAGCTCCCACACCAGGACCCTACCTATCCCATCAACTCATGAACCGGGGACCAACGGTTGTACTTCCCTTCCGAAGACAGGCGTGTACAGAAATGTTATGAATCAGAACATCCCGGCGGCGCAGACTGGGATTGAACTCAGGCCTACTGGGGTGAGAGGTAATCACGGTCAATAATCGAAGCAAAATATACGCAGCTCCTGTTTTATATAAAACATTACATAGCTTTAGGCGTTATACTCATAGACAATAATCCAAGACCAATGTTCCATAGGTGATTCAATTATTGAACATTATTATTTTCTCTGTAAATTTTACATGGTTGTTAGATGTATTGCAGTCGATCGCCAGATAAAATAATACCCATCTTTTTCTGTGAAGATTACTTAATTTAATCAAATTTTAAGCTAGTAATAGCTTATTTCACAACTGAGGATTATTAGCTGAAAAATTAATAAATCGCCTGAAATCATATGCACAATATTAAAACTATTTAAAACATGTTTTATCACAATATTTATAATAATAAGAATCAAAAACAAATAACTGATGATTGATCAATTAAAAGAACTAAATGTTCACATTTGTTCCATCCACTAGCGGTCCTACGTCAAGCTTCCGTTCGTGCCCCTAGGCACAGACCCTTCTACTTTTTTCCTTGACCTGATACATAGTTTATACCCGTAGGCTATCGTAACCAATTAAACAACAAATTACAAAAGATTAAAAATTTAAACTGCACAAATAAAAAAAATTTTGTTGCGTACAACGGAAACGTGATGCAAAAGCTTGAGCCTGCTTATTATTAAAGAATACAAAGTTGCCAGTTTGCAGGATTTTGTATCCGCCAGAATATGAATATAGTGACTATAATTGCTAACTATAAACAAAAACAAAATTGTAAAAATAGCACTTAAGGCAACAATTGTAAAACGGTCTACGAATCAGTGTATAAACAAATAAATAAACAAAATAAACAAAATTGTTACGACTTTGGTGCAAGACTACCAATTATCTTGTTGTAATATGCAAACTGTACTGATTCTGTAGAATCTAGTCACGCCCGATTCATGTGAAATGCATCCGATAGATATTTCACGTGTAAACAACGAACAAAAAGAAGACATGAAAAAATCTCCGGGCGTAATTCTACTCTCAATAAATCCGCAAACGAAGAACCAACGCGGATCAATGTGTGTGTGTGTGTGTGTGTGTCATCCTCTATCCCTCACCCAGCCGGGGGCGTTGAACAAGAATTATTTGATCCAATCTCATGCTCCGTAATGGTGCCCTTTATTTTGTGAAGACTAGTACTTCAAAAAGGGTAACTTTTGAGGCAGGGTGTCCTCAACAAGTTAAGGGAACAGGATGCACTAGATATCCACAACAGGTACAACAAAACATCACATAGACGCCCTTATTCACACTTACTATTCAGGGGGTAGAAGGCCAAGAATAGCCACCGCCACCAACTAAAGCCTGAACCGGGTACCTGAGACTCCCACGATATACCCGCGGCAATAGTCAGCACTCAGCAGACGATGCCCTGTGCGTATTTAGTAAGTAATATGTTTTATTTTTTAATATACACAATGTTTGAAGCCATGTTGCTTTTAATTTAATTCTATTGCTAATTCATAGTACCCAATATGATATTTAAATAATTGATTGTTTCAATTGAACGCTTCACTTCACTTTTTTTTTCTTTTTACTTACCAACAAACTTGATGAAGTGCACTTTATCCCTTAACGTAAATCCGTCTGGTTAGCTCAACCATTCCTCAACTCATTCTTGGTTCTGATATTATTTTCAATTTTTCTCTTCATATATTTATCATGGCTTCCTTATCTTTAGATTGATTTTTCGTACTACGCTTTTCGTTTTCTTATTGTTTGGAAAATCTTTTCCTCATCGTCTTCGCTACAATACACTTTATAAATTTCTTCCGCTTTTCTTTTTAGGCATTCATTTTCCTCTGCTAACTCGTTCCATTTTCCTATTTCCACTTCCGGTAATTTTTCCATATCCTTCTTAATTGTGTCGTTCCACGTGAACGCCGGTCTTCCTAGTTTCCTTCTACCGGTTCTTAGGTTCATTGCTCTTTTCAGTGGATGATCCTCTGGTCTCCTTTGTATATGTCCCCAATAGCAGATACGTTGTACTCTCGCTCTTTTGACTGCAGTATGTCCTTAAAATATGTCTATATGGACCATAGCATGCTATAATTACAAATGGCATCAAAATCCGATTTTTAAAAACCTTTAAACATGTGAAAAATCAAAATTTCGTAGAAATTGCTCGTTGTTTAGTTCTATTTGTTTCGGTATATTTCGATCACTCATCGTTTCTCTGATTATGATGCAGCTTTTTTCTGTATTTATTTTAAGACCTACTTTTGCTAGAGCTTCTTTCAGATATTTTAATATGATTTCAAGTTCTTCTTTGGAGGAAGCTAGTATTAAAATATCATCCGCAAAAGCTTCAAATGTTTCTCCTCCAATAGATTAAAGTTTTTCACTTTTTCCTTAACTTCTTTTAAGACATCTTGGATAACTAAAGTGAAAATAAACGGAGACATTGGGCAACGAAGAACCAAGGCGGAACAATAAACAAAAAAATCCCGAGGGTGTAATTCCACGGCATATCACCAGTGTTGGCAGCTCAAAGGATGGAATATCCGGGGGGAACAATATGCAAGAAAGTATGATGTAAATATTCTTCTCAATTTCACCACAAAAAAATTTTTTTTTTGATTTAAGGGAACATGATGTTAGATTACACTATTAACTACATTTCAAGCTAATACAATTATCCAGAAAATAAGAAGCCGTGAAATGGGATTTATTTTTAGGTCATCAAAATTCGGAAGCGGTTTTCTCGATATAGTTTGATTTTGGAATTCCACCCTTTTCCAATGTTAGTCTAGATATCATAGCGTCATGGATCAGGGATCGCGTGAAATTCGACAGATATCGATACTACAATAATGTATGGTTCAATAATTATCTATAAATCATGAAGGCGACTCAAATTTCATCAAATGAGAAGCCATCGATAGCTGGAATTGAAACGTTCATTTTGAAAAATCTCAGCTGAGGATCTAGATAACTTGCTCTTGCAATTCAAAGAAACATACATGCACCATTCTCACTTTATTGCAACATAAATAAATCCGCCAACATTTATGAATGGGTGAGTGGGCATTTTTCTACTCTCTGGCAAACTCTCTCTTTCTCAAACCAGGGCGAGAGCCATCAGTGTTTGTATACTTTTTGACACATGCACCCAAGTGATCGGCAATACGCTACTTTGGCTCATTCACAGAAAACAGTTCGAGAGTGAGCATAGCAAGTGCACGGAGCACATCACAGCCCACACAGCGCCTACTACCACTACTACAGAGTGAAACGGAAGAGCATATTTTTTATGAACGGTCTTCGGCTGCATGGTGAGAACGTTTACCCAGTGTCTCGTTTAACCACATTCCACCAGTATTCGGTAGAGCAGAGGAAAAAGTCTCTCACCTCACCGTGTCGCATAACTTCTAGAGTGGTGGTCGAGAAAAAAACAGTGCTTACTTCGATGTCCGAAAAAAGATAAATATTTGATGTACAGAAAATTCGCTTTTTAGGTGTAACATAAGCCTTTCATTCAATGTGATGTTGAGTGCAATTTTAGCATTTATTTGATGACGAATGGTGTGCAATACGGTGCGTAGGAGTGATTTATAAAAAATCGACAAAAAAGAAATTCGCCAAGCGCAGCGGAAGGGAAGTGCGTAAGACATGTCAATAGATTTGGAGAAAAATCGAGAATCCATCGTGAAGGCCTGGACGACGGTGGTTGACACGAAAAGCTCCACCAACTGGGCCCTCTTCTCGTACGAAGGACATACCAATGTGCTCAAATTGCAGGAAACCGGGGAGGATGGTCTTTCCGAACTGGCCGCCGAGTTTAACTCGGGGAAAATTCAATACGGGTTCGTACGGGTTGACAGCAAAGAGACTGGAATTGCAAAGTTCGTGTTCATCCATTGGCAGGTAGATATTTAATCATATCTTATCTATGTGTCGTAACCTGGTGGAATAGTTGTTGGTCCAACTTATTTTACCGCTGCTTTGTAAAGATAAGATAGCGATCAAGAAATGTACGTTCGATATGCGTTTCAGGGAGAGGGAGCACCTACAGCTCGCAAAGGAACCTGTACCAAACATGTCCGAGACGTGACCAACCTGATACATGGAGCGCACATCACGATCAACGCAACCACCGAAGATGATGTCGAAGAAGCGTTGATACTGGAAAAGCTGCAGAAAGTAATCGTCAATGATTTCAAGGTCAAAGATTACTCACAAGCCAACGGTAGGTGTTCCACCATGATCGAGTCATTTTCTCTGTTTTAATTAAATTTAATTGTCCCGAAACGTAGTAGTGCAGAATCGAAAACGCCGCCAATAGAGATTCACAAGTAGGCGGTGAAAGGCGAGAATGGGGAACAAGTGGGTCATAATGGATAGACAATGAAAAATAACAGTTTGTTCATTAGTCACATCAGCACGGAGCTGTTACAGAAATGCATGGTGAAAGGAACGGATGATGATGTAGAAAGCAGATTGGGGGGTTTTCTTTGTTTTTGAATGAATCAGCAGAGAATGGCAATAGATTTCGATAAATAATCAATTTTAATGTTTTTGGACCGTTTCGAGCGGTGCTGTGTGGATGCTCTCATTTGAATTTGGATTTTCCTGAAACTGATAGGAAATAATCCATAATAATAACCAAACATAAAAAAGTAGCTGGCGACATTACAGCAAGTGCTTTATATCGAATCAAACGAACAATTCAATTTATCAAGTCACGTTTCAGACGTTCAGGCAAACAAAAAATGAATGTATTAAGGCACACCTAGATTGCAACTTTTTCTGGCTACTTTTTTGTTATTCCAATTCACGGTTGAGGCACGTTTGTTAAGCACTTAGATATATTTCTTCGATAGTGGTCAGACTGTTTTTGTGGCCATTGCCTGAAAGTGAAACTGGTTGAACATTTGCAGGCCAATCGATGTGTGCCTGTTTATATTCCATTTTAACTTGATAGAAATAATAGCATCCATAAAAGAGGGAATGAGCCGAAATTTCTCGAAAAAAAAAATCCTAAGCAAATTCAGTAAAGACATTGGGTTTGGACCAAATTTTGCATCATTTTCGTTTCAGAACAACTTTCATTGTTGTTATAAAATGACCTTTTTTGCAGCTTATTCCACCTACAACAATTCATGATAAATTCAGAAATAATGTTGTTAGGACTAACAAATAAATTCCTGTAGAAAACATTATAGAGGGACTCCGGAGAAATTCCTTATGAAATTTGGAGTAATCTCCCGGGGGAAATTCCGTTACTACTGGCCTTTTTTCTTCAGGCAGAATCGATGGAAGAAATGCGCGTTTATTTGTGGATAATAACTTGGATTAAAAGAGATCTACTAAGCCTCAGATAATATCCCATGTAACATTGCAAGTTTTATCTTGGTTTTAAAGCATGCTACAAGTCTAATTCATAGTCTACAGAACCCTCATAAAACCCTAATTGTTACTCGGGATAGGAACATACGCATCCGGAACTTGGGGAACATGGGGAAAAAAAGTCGAGCATCGACCAATGCTTACCACTAATCGTCGTAAACAACTTTCCAGGCAAGCCTCGCGTTTTGACGTTGACCAAGCTGTGGAATTCGGTCGGATCTGGTAACGAAGGAATGTGTTCGTTGCTGAAAACTAAAAAAAAACTATCATACACAATTGTGTGGTTTCTATTCGGCGAACTAACTATTCCATCATGCGCATTTCATGAATTTTACTCAAACAAACTCCATGTATGTGCTTTATATTTAAGTTTGTTACCTCGATATGAGTGGCTATTTTCTTGTTCGATCGTTGTTTGTTAAATCACTAATCCGACTAGTATTTTCGAGTGCATAACCTCTATTTGCTTTGATCTACCGTAGATGTCCAGAAGCCGGTGGGCACAAACTACAGCCGAGTCATTCCAACAAAGGAGATCAATCCTGCCGAGCGTGATGAGTTTTGGCGGAAGGAAGAAGAGGAGGAGAAACATCGACTGCAACTGGAATACGACCGAAAGCTGCAGGAAACAGTGAAACTGGAAGAGGTGAGTACCATCTACAGCTTTGCTTTGGACAAACTTCAAAGGCATTCTTTTTTTCAGGAACGGCGTCGTCGTGAAGAACGCGAGTTCGAAAAACGGGAAGCGGCTCTGGAAGCGCCCCAGAGTCCCGATAAGAGCTACGCACGGCAAGCTTCGGACAGTTCAAAGACGGAACGAGACCGTGAGATCAAGCAGATTGTGGAAGCCAGCGGAAAGGTCAGCTCGGCTAAGGCACGCTTCCTGTATAGTGCATTAAGTCCAATACACATTCAACAAACGGTAGCTCCGGAGCTGATTATGTCACCGGATTCATCGAACGAAGAGACAAGCTTGATCAATGAACTGAAGGCTGAAGTGGAAGCTGAACAGAACGGACAGAATGGTGCAACAACGACGACTGAGCCGTTGGCACAGGCACAGGAGTTCTTCGATCCAAATGCCACCATCGATTTGTCGGATGAGGATAACATGATCAAAGCGAGGGCTTTGTACGACTACCAAGCGGCGGACGAATCTGAGATCAGTTTTGATCCCGGTGATACTATTACTCACATTGATCAGATCGACGAAGGCTGGTGGCAAGGATTGGCACCGGACGGTAGCTATGGGTTGTTCCCAGCCAACTACGTGGAATTGCTCTAAATGGCCGACAAGGATTTGAATCTTTCAAACAAGTCACCACACACATCCCGCTGAGCAGAGACAGCAAGCACACGCTTTGTCATGTGTAATAGAGTAGGATAGACGACACCGACCTCTAAGTTGTATTTTATTCATTGTCATTTACAATCGTAAACCATAACGCATAGAATCGTATTATTGTACCCTGTTTTCCCTCTAAACAAATTTAGAGGAACCCATTAATCATCACAATATGCAGCGACGAATCTGATTCGTATGCAAGCATTATGAATAAAGACAATTTATCATTACATCGTCATGTTTTACACACGATAGGAAAAAAAAACTCAAATTTAACTGTTGTTATTAGATAAACTTTAAAATTCTACTACCCCGCAAGAATTAATAAAGTAACCTTTTTCTCTTATGCGACACGAGAATTAGTAACGAGCAAATAAACTTGCATCTATTGTTATTTGATTCAATTGGAAAGAATATCTCCATAGTAGTAAAAATTTAGCTAATATGTATTGAGGTCATCTGGGAGTCAAAAATATTATTTAGAATCATTTTTGAAATTCTCTGAGGGTGCAATTTTATTTCCTTCAAAATTTGTCTGGATCCTGGATTCCGGAGATGAACAAGCCATAGGCTAAAAATCTCCTTAATAAACAAATGGATCCTGGATTGAAATCTCAAGGTCGGAAGATATCATGTTTTTGGGATTTCAAATGCAACCCTATCGATGGTTATTCCCTCCACATTTATTGCAGCCAACCCGTCTTCAACTAGCTGATCCCGGGACGCAATTCACATCCCCTCATAGAAGCCCTTAAGCCACACGGTCGTTGAATTTGACTCGTAGTTGAGTTCCATTTACCAAAATTCACAAATACGTACGTCACTCGTACACTTAGTGAATTTTCAACTCAAATATCCCAAGTAACAATTCTGCAATCATTTGGCATCCACTCTGATTTATGATGGTTTTTAAATTGCAATGAATAATCCATTTAGTTTAAATACAGCATTTCACAGTGTAAAACGTTCCTGCTTAGTAGTTCAGCTTTTCGCTGTTTTAAAAACCTTTTACAGTCTGGCGAGAAGTCAAAAACTGTCTTGTTTAAAAATTTAATTTAAAGTAGTTTCCAATCCCACCATAAAACTGTTCTATGTATCAATCATAAACTTCATTAGCAATTTTTTATTAATGTCTTGATACAATACTCTATAAACCTGTTCTATCATTATCAAAGCAATCATAAAACCATTAAGTTTTAAATGAGAGTAAAAGGCATAAATTGTTACCATTTAGGCTTTTAAAATTGTCTCATAACATCTCCTCTGTTTACAAATTGAACTTTAAGGATGGATCCTCATAGTGGATAAAACCCAAATTTATGACAAGGATATCTCGAAGGATAAACGAAGTTGGAGGAAAAATTCAAGCGATGCTAACGACCGAAGGGAAGTCGATTTCAGTAAAATTTAGTTCTTTAGAAGAACCAGCACGTCCGGCGGAACGGGTACCATCAACGCCTGAGCATCTGGTGAAGAAGAGTGAAGTGAGTGTGGCCCTCAAATTCATAAAACATTGTCAAAACAGCCTGAAAACAGACCAGCCTTTTCCAGACCTTGCGAATAGATGAAAATCGGAATAAATTGCGTCAGTTAGCGGACACTAGTTGGTTTCCGATCCATAGCTGCGATTTTATTCGGTGAAAGGGTCATCACTTGGAAAAAAAATCATTCCATCGTACATTCCTGCATCGTTTGATGGTGCACTTCCAGAACCATCCGGAAGAAGGGGATCTTTTCGGGAATGATCGAGGTTACAGCTGTGCGAAATGCGAAATGTTGTGAACACTTTCTTAGTAACTGCTTCCAAGCCATCGGGAGAGAATTGCCTGGAAGAACGCTGAATCGCAACTATTGGAAGATAAACAAACTTTGACGTTTAACATTTTGTAGGCAACATTGCCAGCATAAATCTGAACGGGTTAGGATCAAGCAAAATAGCTTTAGATAAATACAATTCAGTCTACAAGTTAGCTACAATAGCCATTTCAAAACCTTATGAATTTGTAAGGAATTTCTTGAAAGCAAAATAAGTTTTTTCACAAATGGCACATGAAAATCAACGTTTATGCCTCCGCCATATTACAATTATTTTGTTTGTTTTTAACAATCTTCGATTTTCAATCAATATTTGCTTGGATATAACTTTATTTTAGTTAATTTAGCAATGAAAAAATATTTAGAATGCAAAAATCATGAGAAACAAAAATCTTGGCCCAGATAAATGATCGATCTGAAGAATATATATTTTTCTTAATGTAAAATAATTAGTAAAATCGATGTTTTCCGTGGGCGGACACAAATTTTTCGATGTTTTCACGTACATTACACATTACATTTTATATGGCACCCAAAACTAGAACTATTTTAATTGTCTTGATAAGATCGGATGGTATTTATGAATCCTTTTTTATCTTGATTGTTGTTTTTTCTAATGAACTTAGCAAGCAGCTAGGGTAAATGGCTCGGATAATGGTTTAATTGTTGCCAAATAACTTTTATTGTAGCTTAAATACGGTTTTGAAATGGATTTCAATGGGCCGTATGAATAAAAAGAGTTTACTTTACTTTCCCGTGCTTTTCTTACGGGAAAAGTAAAGTAAACGCTTTTATTAATACGACTTAATGCGTTTATTGTACAACCATTTTGCAGTAAATCAATCTTGAAGAGCTTCGAAAATATACCATTCAGAACCTTCTCCAGGGTGGGCCAACTAGACAGATTCTAGCATTAATGAGGTTTTGGTGGATGCATCAATGGCAAAGCAGTCTTGACCAGGGTTTCATGAATGTTGTTTTATAGTAGCTTTGTAGAATTTTATAAAACTTAAAATGTTACTTGGGATGAGTAAATGTCACTCAAATGTGATCATATGAGTGACATTTATTCATGTTTGTGGTCATAAAAGGTTACTGTCACATTCTCCTGGTCATATTGAAGGTTACTGTTTTCGGCAAAGTTAGACAGAGCACTATGGTCTAGAAATTAAAATTTCGTTACAAAATCAAATAAGTTGGCCATTTGGCATTTTACTACTGTACTCAATCAATCTTGATCGGTTTTCGAAATCAATTCTGGTGTCATTCTGAGTTTAAGTGTTCTTGTTTTTTTTTTTAAACATGGTGATGCTTACCAGTTTTGTGAAGGGTAAGTATTCTTTGTTTAACATGTTTATGTTTTGAAAAATTGGTAATGCTGTTATCGATTTCATTGTTTTTCTTGCAAAAATTATTATTATTATTGTTACATGCTCCACTTAAAAGCAGGGCTGTGGAGTCTAGAACTGTGCGCCGCCGTGCCACGCCAGCACCGCTGGCACCTTTTCACACGTCGTTATCGCCAACATTTTTGAGTCGGCGTGCCGCCATGATAGTTTTTGATACGCCTACAATGTAAATATAAGTTTTGTAATTTTAAATTTTAGAAGACGTGTTTCTTATCAACCCCGGCACAGAATTATACAAAAAGGACCAACTTGATTGTATTTTTTATTATAGATCAGATTTCATGAATTGGTTAACTGGTTCCGGAGATACGAACATGTTCTATGTACCCAAAGACAATAATACAATGCTGCTCCATATAACCAAAGATGAATACTAAGATGAAACTGTCGGAAGAACAACTTTCAATTTTAGTGCCCTCTTTCACGGTCCTTTTCATCCAATGAATATCCCCAGTATGCAAGGTAATTTTGTGGTTTTGCTGCCCCCTCGGTAGAGATAAAATTTTGCGCGCTTTTTGTTCGTTGTGCTGTCATTTTTCCACCAATGAGAGTGCAAAACTTGTTTGAAACAATCGGTGATGATCCTCTGCAGAAGTTAATGATTATATCGACATGATATAACCGATTACAAATATTTTACTGTTCGGTTCGTGAATCGATTAATCGATTATTCGAATGAAAATTGGCCATCACTAGATGAATGCGAAACGTCATTTCAAATATAAGTACCGTACATAAATAATGATACAATTTGAAAGGAACCGGGGCTAATCACAAATTACGCCCCCACGGTAACAGAAATAAACATGAGTGTTCACCGGTTGAAATAGCAGCAGCGCATGCCAATTTTGATACAAAATGGTCAACTTTGCCATGAGGTAACCTTTTGTGTTATGATCAATTGAGCTGTCACAGAACTACAGATGTGTTAAAGTTTACATTTACAAAATACCAAATTTTTGGAAGCACCTGCCGGAAAGTGAGATACTTGGTCAAATTGTTCGAAATAATAGTAAGTAGATAGTATAGCAGGTTAATCAGAAACTATTTCTAAAACCTTCAATTGATAAAATACCTATAAAAAGTCCTTTTGTCACGATTGATCAGGTGGATCAGGAATTATTCTGAAGATCCCAGCTTTTCAAATCATGTTCCTAAGATATTACTTTAAGGAAGCAGGTTGATCAGTTTTTTTTGCACAGACACTTTATAAAACATAAAGTATAAAGTAAGTATAAACCTTTATAAAGTCCTCTAGATATAATGGCAGGTAGGACTTCATGTTGATCAGATAATATTTAGAAGATCTCTAATGTTCATAAATCCAGATCATGATTAAAAATATTCTCTAAAGATCGCAGTGATCAATTACAGAATTCAGATTGATAACATATTACTCTGAAGATCTACATCTATCCAGCTATACAAATCATGTATTTCAGATATTATGTCACGATAGTGGGTTGATCTGAGTTATTTCAAAGGTCTTGAATTGATCAAAGATCTCTAAAATGTAGCAATGTCTAGAAAAATTACTAATTGTGCAGATCTTCAAGTATTCAACATTTCAAAAGTCGCCTCTCAGATATTCTTCCAATATGGCAATCCAGGCTGATTGGGAAGTATTGAAAAGTAAAAATTATCTGGTCGAAGATTTCAGTAAAGTCCATAGGGAAATTTTTCAATTTTTCATGTTGAACTAGTTCTTTTCTGAAGATTTTCAATTGCTCAAAATAAAAAAAAAAAAATAATAAATGTAATCCCTTATCTTGAGTAAGCCGCGAGTAATCGGCCCCCGTTCTACTAACATTAGTTGTAAGAAATGATGTTAATGTAAAAAATATTCGGCTCCGCAAAGCTAACGCATTTGAGCCTTTACAAATAAATTGATTATAAAAAAAAATGCTCAAAATGAAAATAAAAACTTTGCTTGTTGATTAGCACTTATTCAAAAGTTTCCAGCTGATCCATGATTTTAGAAAAGACTATTGGATATGTTTTGAACATTTCGTTGAACTTTTTCGATTACCTTAGAACTTCCCTTCTACGAAAGATTAGAAGTACGAAAAATACGAGACGTTTTTGAAGTTAACAAAACTATTCTGAAGTCAACGAACTTCTCCGAAGTATGCAGAAGTTCTCTTCTTCCAATTATAATTT